AAATCAATAACAGACGCGACGGTTTAAACAATAATGCCTTGTTTTTACTCAAGAACTTCACTTGACGATTTATTGGTGTTTTTTGGTAACCTCATACATTTCCAGCTATTTCAACCATGTATTTAAGCAATATAGCTCATTTTACGGAAGAAGATGAGTCTTGGCTTTTATAAGTAAAATACCTAGCTATTGGTTTGCTGAAATGCATATATACACAACACATACGTCGATAGAAGAAGTCCGGGCGATTGAGCTTACATTTCTCTTCCTACGAAAATATATGTAGCTTGGTCTCAAGAGTAAACGCGCTATTTATGCTAGATAAAAAAAAGTACCAGCCCAAATCTAAAGCTATGTCCCTTTTCTAATAGCTGAGGTTCGAAGGCCAGGGGGTGACTGTTGTGGTAAAACATGACCAACAAAGCGACCTTCGTTCTCAAACGGTGAATCTTCCCGTTTCAGCGCCGGATGTGAAGACAAGATCACGCTGCCTCGGTTTGGACTGTATATAGTATAGGATGAAGAAGTAGTAGTGGGAACAATCAATATATTGGCTGACAACAGCCTTCGTGCCACAGCAATATCTGTCCATACGACGGGACATACCGCAGCGATCTGATATACTTTGAGCTGTAGCAGCCCGGAACAATATCGGTGTCAAGGAACCTTAGCACGCAAGAATAATAATGTACGTATGCATGTATGAAGTATGCATAGATAAAGCGATATACCGTTGCTGAGGCTTCTTTTTGCTTTAGCTAATCAACGGGCTGAATAAGAAATAGATTACAAAAAATGAAGATTCGGTTAGTAATGGCTTCTGTAGGACTGCCAATTCTGCGGCCATGAAGTAAATCTATGTAGTCAACTTTTTTTTTTTAGTAAGGCTTTTCCCGAAAGGAGTTATCCAGATCTTCAAGTATGTTTACTGTAACAGTTGATTGCAATTTACAGACTACAATGTTTTCATTTCCAAGAACTTACATAGTTACTTAACAAACATATATATTGAGTTGAAGGTTCAAACCAAGAATTTACGAAAAATAGGAGGGCCTACATGACCTGCTTTTTACTTTCTACCTAACTTCTGCGCCAGAGCGATATAATTCCGCGCATAACCGTTGACGAGCGTAAAACAACCTTCAACTATCTGAAACTTAATGATTGTGCTTGCACTTCCCTCCATTTAGGAGTAAGAATAATTTTGCGATTAAACAGGAAAATAATAGTATTAAATATCTCATTATGTTGGCATCCCCACAATGGCTTTGCGTTATCAATTCTCGATGAGGAAGGAAATATAATTTGAAAATTTTCCCGACGTTTCTCAACTCAACTACGGATATTTTTACGAATACAGTACACTAAGCAACGAAAATGGTCACCCAACATATACATATAAAAACGATACCCTTTTACCTGCTATATAACGAGGAAAATAACAACATAGTATTGTAAAGACAAAGAAAATGGGTGAGCTAATAAGCTAGACCGCATTTCTCGTGCGCAAGCAAAATGTGTTTATTAAGGGTGCTTCTTGTGCCCATTTGTCCCGATGATATCTTTAAGATAGCAGACGACAAATACTCATATACTAAATCAACAGAATAATAAAAGGTACCATATATTTTTTGCATATTGAAAAAAATCTCTCTTTTCTGTCAGTTTTATTTGTTTATTTTGCAGACTTGCTGAGTCTGTCTCCAGAAGACCTGTATCAGCTCAGAAGTACGAAGGTGATCTAAAGGTTTTGTCTGAGTTAAAATTTCTGGCTTTATAGCTGTGGTGTGCCTACAGTTAAAATCTATTCATCATCATTATTTATATACATATATATAATAAAACTTTAAAGACGTTCTGTGTTGTCGACAAATGTCGACACACCGCGTAATGGTGAAATTTAGGTCTCGAAGGCTACCGAATGAATTTTGCGTCATTGTGTATAGTCAGATCAAACAGTGACTTTGCGATCAGTATGAATATTATTTATTTTTGCTATCCGTTTAATTACTAAAGACCTTTTTTATTTATTCATTAGGCCATCGAAAGCGGGAAGCAAGGCAATTGTTACAAAATAGTATACCTGTCTGATAAACTGATTTTGAAGAATTGTTTACATCTGAATTACCTTAACGAGGTTCACCCATAAGGATGAACGATCACGTTTGATTTGATTATGGAGAGCGTGCGGTTATAGGATGAATGCTTTATGATGATTTTTTTTTTAATTTTTTATTTATTTTTTATGATTATTATTAATTTATGACATGCGCAGATGATTTAACTACGTCAGTTCGCAAACATTGAAATATAACACTGTCCCTGCCCTAATAATAAATCTTCTAGTTTTAAAGGCGTCTCCTTATATATGACGATTTATTTGTGCATCTATGAAAAGCATACAATTATGTGCAATTAAATCAAAAACAATCCCAAGAGGACATAAATAAAAACATGAAGGATCCTTGTTGTAGGTTATAACTGCTTCGAATCGACTTGAAACGAAGTCCATTTCAAGTCCTGATGTAGAATAAGTAGATGAGCTAAAGTGACATGCGCAGATGATTTAACTACATCAGTTCGCAAACACAGAAGAAGGAAGACACATGGTAGAGAGATACATCACATCATGATTTGATAAGAGTGTTATTTCTAAGAAATGCTTGGTTTTAAGTTGATAAAGACAGCCTAATTTGTCTTCTTTTATATGCACTTGTTTCGTCACATAGAGCAGAGAACTAAACACAACGTTGCAACGGTATAATTTCAATCCATATCTATACATGAAATACGTGTAATCATCGACGTACGGTTTATGTTTACCTATAATAAACAGATAAGCCATAAAATTTGCAAGTGATTCGTAATTGGTCGTTTAAAACTTTGAACTTTCATCGAAGTGTCTTGTAAACACTATCTAGCACGTGAAATATGCTTACTTTAAGAACTTGATGTATGCTTCATTTTATGCGGAATCTTCTTGATCACATATAGCAGATTACTGCGCTATCGATTATAACAAAAAATATTCACGATAATTCGATTACACGCAAAAAAAATGACCCCAAAAATAGTCTGTGTGGGTTCTTTAGACTTCAGCTGTCGACACCTTTATTTGCTGGACCCATATTTTTTGTGTTTTTCGAAGATACAAGCGCTTGCTGGAGTTCATCGAAAATTACGGAAAACATCAGGCATGTGAACCTTTGACAAAACAACGGACTCTTACCGGTGCCATTATTCTAGGAATATCCTAGGAATAAAAATTTAAGCCTTGAAGAACATATATAAGTTGACTGCAGTTCGTCAGACTTCCACACAAAAGAGCCATGTGGTTCCGGACGTTTTTGAACGAAATAGAGCATGGCCGGTGCGCTACCTACAGGTTCAATATGAGATTCTTCGGAGTACGTATTACGAAAACAAAAAGTTAAGAAAGACTGAAAAAAAAGGACAGTGCATTTTTTCTAAACTAGGTCTATGAGAAACTGCGGAACGTGTGATCAACGTTTGAGTCAAATTGTGGCAGAAGATAAAACAATCATAATACTGGCTTCTGTGCATGAATACTGTACGGAAGTGCACCTAACAGGTTTCAGAATATGCCACTTTTTATGCTTTCGAATTTACTTTAGTTTTTGCAGCCGCTAAATAGTTCCAAACATATACAGCCTGACATTGACTACAAAACCAACTGCCTGACCCAATAGCACCGAGCCTCGGCTAACTTCTTCCGCGAATGTCTACTAGAAAGTTCATGGCAAAAATAATGCAGGCTTACAAACTTATTTTTGCTGTCAAACGTTTCATCGTCGCCTTTTTGCTCGTAATCAATTAAAAATCAGCTGCATTAAGGTACATATAAGTACAGAAGATACAAAAGGCTGTACTTGAGGCCATAGATATCGCAGCCTAGATAGAGTGGCTAAAAATTTTGTTTCTGTTGAAAAATCGACCATCCTTATGTCAAAAACGTTACCCTATATTGTATGAGGCGCCCTCTTTCTGTACTTATGCTTGTTCTCCAACATATACCTAATGGCTCTATGCTTCCACTCACGGCTATCGGCCTAGCTGTAGCATGTTAGTCTTTTTTAGAGGTGTACGCTTGAGGCAGCTTCATTATATATTGTTTTATACTATAAAAAAGAGCTATTTCAAGGCTTTTGCTTAAAAACAACATGTTTTTGTTTGGAAGAGAAAACACAAGCGTGCATTTCATAATAATAGGAACAAAAAATATCATCCTTTATCAAAAGCATAATTTTCTCGTTTACGTCAGCAATATTGTGGACGGCTTTATTGCACAAAACATCGTATTTCACGATACAAGCGAATAGCAAAGTGTTAATCGTACGGTATTGTCAATATTATAAGGTCCTGCAGAAATACACCAACTTTTTCTGTATTTGATTGTCATTGAACTGGATGCGGCAGATTTCAGTCTGTGAAGGTCAACAACTTCTGTTAACAGAACTTGAGCCCTTCAGTTACGAAGTTTCGATACATTGTTATGTGTTAGACCCAGTCTGACACTGCCGGAACAAATCGTCTAACCGTATAAGGCCGTTAAATTTGGTCGAACGACCCGAGAACGAAGGACGTGTTTATTATTTGATGATCTCTTTAACCTTAGTCGACACGAAAACAGCAGGCCCAATCTGTTAATGTATAACCGACTCTTTTGGCCGTGCATGGCGGTAACAAATATATCAATAAGGTTGTTGATTTTATGAGAGTCACGCTGCTCGTGAATTACACCTAACTATTTATACCTAATTGTTTATAAAAGGTAACGTCAACTAGAAATTGAATTTTTGGAGAGACCTGACAAGGCATGTATACGCAATGCCATAGGCGTCGTGCGCAACCTGCAGCTTAATGGGTTATATGTTATTCGCTCAGAAGTGGCAACTTACAATGTCTAGGCATATATATTTCTTAATTAACTCTGTAAGAGCTGCAAATCTGGGGCCCGTTTATTGCAGAACTGTACTTACATTCGGCGGACCGTGTTATGTCAAGCGACAGATTTCAAATCGATATGGTGTACCGGTTGCGATGCGCCCTCTTGGATGAACTCTGAAAGCCGCCTGCATGTGTTTGACTCTATTGTATCACGGCTTTCACGTGGAAATCACTATGCCGACACTGGTAGAGAGTGGTCCACTAACAGCAGCGACAATTTCGCTTGTCGCAGAAAAACTGGCTCATCCGACTTCATACCATCTCTTACAACAACGACAAACACAACAACGGTTAAACACTTTCAGCAGCTGCCGGCTACTGCTTTCAGATGGATGTGGCCGTGATGAGCACTTCTCACTGTGCCGTCGCTTTTTTTTCCCGGTTAGGTGATTTTGCGCGCGACTGACAACGGGATGATCTCTTCCGTTAATAGCAATCGAGACAACAACGATTGCTGCTAAATAAGCAATAGTGGAACATTCGACGATATTGGTGTTCACGTCCGAGACGCGTGAATAACGATCACACAGTGGGTGGATGATTGTATAGTATATTACCTGTTGTATGGGGACTTGAACGATGATCGTGGCTATAGCATTTTTCTTTACTACTTATTGTTACCACGTTATTACTATTAATGCAATACGTATTTATACAGCGAATTTTACTTTAATGGGAACCCGGCGCAGTATTGTTGCCTTCCGAGCAAAGAGACGGGCGCTGCAGTAGTTCTAGGTGGTTAGTGATCTGTCACTGCGGACGAAAACCTGGGCAGACAGAAAGGTGGGACTGGGCGGGTGTTAGATCCTTGAGTTCTCTCTATGGTGATAAGTTAGCTAACCTCAATAGTAAACTCACCTCGGCTGGTGACTTCTTAACTCTGATATTCTACTGTTGTGGTCACTTCGGTCAACCTTCTGACCGCTCGGCGTCGTGCGGCCACCGCGTTCCCGTTCAATCACTGTCGATTACACTCATGTACAAGAGACTGTGTAGCTAGAGCAACGCTTGTGGATCCGTCTGATTGTGGGGAAAGTCGGAACGACATCATTACAAGTCTACCACTAGCATCAGCAATGGAAAAGCAGCAACAGCTACTGCTGGCCCTGAACTCACCAGAGCCGGCGGAGCGGAGCCGTCGTATGGAGATACTGGAGTGAGTGCAGACGTATCCGTAGTACTGTAACTCCCGTGTTAGCACCAGCAGTTGCGTCGTAGTTGTACCACTACCCTGTCGCTATTACTTCTTCTACTTGATGCTACCGTGGCTGTTGGCCAACCAACGACCGCCACTCACTAACGCCGACCGCGGCAGTAACTCGTACGATGGCGGCGTCGCCGCCGCCGTAGTCCGCTGCTGCTTCGACTACTGCCGCTCGTTCAACGTTGACGCTTCTCTTGTTGTTGTTGTTGTTATTATTTCTGCTGCTAAGTCTACTATTAGTGCTGGTTGCTAAACAGTTTGTGTTGTTGTTAGCGCTGCTGGATGGTAGTTGTTCGATGATGATGATGATGGTGGTGATGATGATGACGACGACGTCGTCGTCGTGGTTACATAGTGATACGCGATAGAAGCAGAGGGTAAGCCAAAGCCGGCAGAGTAAGAGTAAAGCCGCTTTCGCCGCACTATTGACGTTTCCCTCTGTTTTGAGGGCCGTGGCTGCTGCAGATGCTGCTGCCTGGGTCACTGCTTCACGCTATGGCAGTAACACCAACAGACGTAGCGGAGGTGATTGTGTCTGTAGTATGAGTCGTCCTTCTCCAGTGACGCTCTTTCCGCGCTCTTTACCGCGTAGCACAGCACTTCCTTCCCAAAACACTGCTTAGTAGCGCCCTTCCATAGAGAAGGACGATACTGTTGGGGTTATTGTTGACAACTGAAGCCCGCTAACCACAAGCTATGCATTAGTCCGAGCTATTCAGCGCAGTTGGGCTCTAACCACGGCTCAACATAACTCAATTCAATTGCGCAATATATAGTACATAACTACGTCGTAGATTCTCACTCAAGTCAGGATATCGGGCTGTCCTTTTATCAGGATTCTGGTCAACGTGTATATGTATTGAACATCGCGCCTGCAAGTCAAAAGTCGGATAGCACTACTTCTAAACACAGCCATTCAACAGTTCAATGTCTAGATCGCCATTAGAGACAAGTCGCAAGCACACGGAGAACACAGCATCTGTCTTTCCTCAGCTATGATGACAAACGCAGCGTTTGTTACTTTTGACGGTTTCACTTTGCTAGCACAATTGCATGAGTACCGATTTTTCCCTGGCCAGAAAACATGAACGTACGCTGAGTTTATAAAGCAATTGATATCGCTCATGTTCATAACTAGGAGCTACTGTTGAATGTATAGCGAATCTACTGGTCGTTATGGAAGCGTGAACAAATTGCTTCACGCTCACACACTCTACACTGAATATACATGTGCTGTCTTGTCTGGTCCCTGTGCCTGTGCTCAGGACGATATCACGGCCAAGAACAACGACCCCCCACAAAACACAGCGATCAGCAAAAACACCTCTGGATGTTGCTGCTGCTGTGACGTTGTCGATGTTTGTTGGGGCGACGGAAGCGCAGCACGGCAAACGCAGTTAGGCTCAGAGATAGAATCACTTACCGCCAGACGCTCTCTCATTCATTATTGTTCGTTTGTCATGCATCGTTCGTGCTCGTCAGCAGCAGCAGCAGCAGTCAGAGACCCAGAAAGAGGGCCAATGATGCAGCGGCTGTATTAGTAGCAACAGAGGCTGCAACGGCGGGATTCTGCTGCCCTTATGGTCGTCTGGTAGAGTTAGCGGCGGCGACGGCGGTAGCAGCGGGCCCTAAACCGGTCCGACCGACAGCCCTCTTAGGCTGGCTTGCTCGCCCGCTTGGGGAACTTGCAGCCGCCGGCTGGCTAGTACGTGCAGTTGGCTGATTGGCTTAGCTTTTAGTTGGCGTCCGTCTGATTGCCTGTCAGTTCGTAAGTTCGTGGCGAACCACAACAAAAGGACACCCCACACACGAGAAGGCAGGCAAAAGAAGAAGTAGATGTACCCGGCGGTGGCAGCCGACAGCCCAACCAGACGACGTTACTCACTGACTTGCCGCAAACAACAAACGGTGACACAACAACAACAACGGTTGCAACACTACAGTGACAATATAGAATAGCAGCATTTGTAGCAGCAGTCGCTGGGCAAGGCAGGATCGTTACAAAACACGGACGCTCTCTCAACACAGCGACAACTCATACGACGGGCCGGTGCCAATGGCCTGGCAGGACCACTGTTAGCAACGAACCGACAAAACACACCACATGGAGGGAGCAGACGAATCCGCAGGTTCTTTCACACAGCAGGGCCGACTCAAACGAAACGAATCAGGGAAGAGCCCGTAGTTAAATCGACGAACCAGCTGAACAGAAATGGCGGTTTCCCGTAAGCAGCGGGAGCAGTAGCAGAATCATACATACTAAATTCATAACCATCTCTTACTATATTGTCAATGAATATATAGCTACAAATGGCAAATCACTGAGGCACTGAAAACAGCACAGATACCAGCTCATACATAGAGCAATGTCAGCGTTCTGCAATGTCAATGCATATACTCGTGCATAGATGCATATTTTAATAGGTTTCTGCACGACGACAGTGGAGGAAAATTCTGAACGATAAGTGACGATGGATACATCGTTCTGTTTCACGTATATACATATAGATATAAATAGGCTAAATAAGTACATTGTATGTGCAAGCATAAGCGCGTGGCATAAGGTCAACTTTGAACGACTCATTTACTACTTAATTTTTTTTTCAGAGTTACACCTTTATTGCTATAGAAAGAAAGTTTAATAAGAACAAGCGCTGGTTCAATAGTCACATGATTTGAATTTTATGTCCGCAACTGCCGTTTAACATTGGCTCTCAAAGACTTGCTGCCACTACAAGACGAACTATGTTAATGTCCGGTTTCGAAACTAGAACATTTCATATGTCCTTGAGTTTAGCAGAAAACACATTATCATTCAATCACCATGAAAACGCAAATCCGAAGCGTTTACTGTCTATATTATCGAATACGTTAGAAACTGGCCTGAACATACCAGAACATAAACCATTTACTTGATACAAGATACTCAAAAAATGCTCATGCTTTCGTATATGATTTTTATTGCTTTCGTTGTATTTAATCACCTGAGAGAGGATTCTTATTTGACAACATTTTGGTTAAAATTTTTCTACAGCGGTTGTGGGATACATTGGAAGAGAATGCCTGCAACCACCCGTCATTAACCAGAAGGCACATCGACAGGCCGGCTCTATTCAGCGGTTGCTTTGCTATATGTTTTAATTAAAACAAACGATCTTTTAAGACAGCGTTTATTCTCAGGCAATTCTTTCTCATTGCTTAGCTAGGAAACCATAAACTTGATGTATCGCTTAACAGAGATCGCGTCGAATAATTTGATGATGTGATCATACCATTGCTTTTGTTGCTAGCTTATTCAAGCTTATAAGGGCAATGTTTATGGAATGCAGGTAAATGATCGCCTTGTTTGGACTTGGCCATGAAAATGCAGTCCTAAAATATATACCTGCATCCAATCAAGAAGAAAGATCATCGAGCTAATAGTAACGTTCGACTGGAAAAAACGGACGCTTTGTTATTGTCTGTGGAGAAGTGCTCGCTCCTCGGCAGAATGGAGCTACTTTGCTGTAGTGGCTGGCTTCAACCCCGCACCGTAGTAAAAATGCGGATTAACACTTGTCCCTAATACTAAATATCAGAACACTTGGGCACATAAACGTCGACCATGGAACTTCGCTATTGATGACAACGACAAGGATTCGAAGAATTCATCTTCAAAATGATCAGAAACTTAAGGTTGTCTACGAACTTGTAGGTCCACACAGCTTTCGAACCATAAACTTTGGACTGTGACTTAGAATATCGAATTTTGTGCTTTTTTGATAACGCACCTTAGGTTTTCGGTAAACTTCCTCAAAGTACTACATTCGTCTTAAATTTAAGGTTGCATTTAAATTGAGCTAGACATATAACATACCTGTGTTACGCATTTTTGACAAGCAAGTTACACCTGGTAAAAGTTTGCAGCCTAACAGCCCGAATAGGACCACGAACTTCTAAAATGTCCTACGTAATATAAATAGTAACGCACTCGTCATTATGTGAGTACAACCAACCAGCTAACGAGACAATCAAGCGCGCGCTTAGTATTCTATAACGTATAAAACCTTCCCAAAAATATCAAAAAGGACTGTCTTCCTTAACGACGCCTTTCAATGGACTGATTCATGGCGCTTTTCGGCCACAAAGCAATTTCTATCAGAAAGGAGTTGAAGAGACAAACAGTGAACTCTGATATGTTTACCTCAGTCAGCTTAAATGAATTGCAGGACGGTATTGTACACGCTGTTTTCGTTTTGTCTTTAGATTATTTATCATTTTTATGCGTGCCAGTCTTAGTTACTATTCGTACGAATGTGATGTCGTGCAAAAGGAGTTATCATTTAGTCAGGAACTCGCACCCAAAGTTGACCTAGAAATGAGACAGATATCTTTATCACACTTAAAGACGAGATATTATATGAAACTATAGTAGAACAGAATATGCTAATACATACAAATTCGCTTTTCAAGTATCACGTGGCCTAAAATAACAGTTCCGTAACAGTGGATTAATAACGGGTTGACCTGCTGAACTTGGAGACACGTGGTGGTCCTAGCTCGAATGCCAGCGAAGATGCGCTTCCTTCATGCTGGGAGCCAACGATGCCTCACAATTTAAGTTAAGCCCGAAACATTAAGTTTAACAGTTACGGCATCCTTCAGGAAAAAGCGCAATCAAGCAGCAGATTCTTATTTGAAGTCGTTTCAATTAGCATTGTATAAGTTTTATTTGCTCATGCTCTCATGATAATAGCTCAGCATTATGTTCAAGTGAAGCTACGTTCGGATCTGAAGTGTACTTTTTGTTGAGCGGCTTTTCCAATTTAGCGTAGCCGATAACTTGTTCCGATATCGTACACATAAATGACAAAGGTGGTTATTTTCCAATTCAAAACAATCCGTTGTGATTGCTATCAGTTATTTTGTTGTAATTCGTCATATATCTTCCTTCGTGGACCTAACGGTAGTCTCGATATGAAAACAATGTAGCTTATGTTCGGTGGCATGGCATGTCATACCATAAATGACAGCCATTCCACAAGCATACGATATTACACTGACGCAAGAAGACCAGGAGGTCTTGTTTGGGTTTTTGGAGGCCATACTGCTAGCTAAACTAACAGAACCTTCCGAGTTTCATCATCAAGAAGAAAGCCTTTCACGATTATTTAGCTATAACAGCTTTTACAATCAATCAGTACTGTCTAATCTTAATCATTTCTCGTATATCAGAAAAATGCCCTCCTCGGAATCTATTATAATAGCTCACTTTTTACCAATTATAGCACCCACTGAAGTGTCGCATAAAGTTAAATGAATACATTCTGTTGACGGCCCAGTATCATTGGGAACGTCAATAACGTAAAGTGTTATAGATAACGTTTCGTTGGATGTCTATATTGTTGTCACGAGATACGCGTAACAAATGGCTCGAACGTCTGAGAGGACATGGGCCAGTCCTAGACTAGCGAGATGCGAGTAAAACCCTTAAGTTCAATTTTTTTCCGAGTACCAAAATTATTTACTATGATTGATAATTTGTGTGACTACGTAACACGAGCAGATAGAGCTGTTTTTAATAGCGAGATGTACACGCCCTCTACCAATTACTGGGCGCACTGGCAACGAACAGGTAGGCATTGTAGCATTCAGAGACACTAATCTTTGAGTGGTCAGCCCTTTAGACCTAGATACATATAATGAAAACTATAAAGCAACTATGTATAATAAAATCGGTGATTTTTGTTTAATTCAGTCGTGTTAAATTGCACGGGTTAAACTTGTTTCAACTAATTAAATTTTCTAGTGAGATAAGCGATTCTAGTTCCGCCCTAGTAGATTTTTTACTTTTGATGATAGGCGGTATTCTATTTGGTTATTCAGCTTACTTTCCTATACGCCTGCGCGTCACGGCACTTCTTAACTTTATACACTTATATTGATTCATTGAGTTTCGAGATTTGGTATAGAGTAGTGCGTTTTAGCGCATGAACTCTTATCCGACTTTTATCGCTTCCATTCTTGTGTTCGTAAACACGTATGCCTAGTAACGTTTACTGACCTCTATACATCATTTCTTCAGTTACGCCCTATGTACTGAAGCCGTGCAGCAGATTAAGGGGCAAAGTATGCTTAGCGCTCATCATAGTTGCAAGCATAACTTTTTTGCGCTTGGAATGTTATCTACATAGTACCGTTGTATAGTTTTTTTTTTTGCTACTTTGAATTGTACGGCGTTATTAGCAAAATAGGTGAAAATAGCAAAGCAAGTACGCTAACGCGAACCTTTATTATCGCAAACTTTATTTAAATGCCCAAACCCACCTTAACTAACATTTGTGCTTAATACTATTTATAAATAAATAAATAATTGATGCAGTCATATATCACACTGAATCTTGAAATTATCCGTTGACATGCTTATCATTTGGATACAAAAACCATAGGCATATTTGATAAGCGATCTTCACGGGTTTAACTAAAAGAAATTTTTCTAAATGGTACCGTAGACGACTCTCTATGGTAAACAGCTTGCTTTCAAGAACCACAGAAACCTAATGCCCGCTGTTTCTCTCCGCGCGGTATCCAATATGGTGGCCTCCTTGTATGGCCGGTTTATATATATACAGACAAACCGACTGCTGCTTATTTGACGGATAAGGTACAGAAAGCCGCAGAATATTGTTCCTGTCCCGGCTATCGAAGTAGCAATGCTCATGAGTTTAGGTATTATCAATGCTCTTTCCCCGGGACTAACATTGGACAGGTAGTGTTGCTCGTGCTATGTTCTCTCCTCAATTAGACACGCCCACATTATCGTTCCGCACTGATAAAAATGGGTCAGTGTTAGCAGATTACATATATCATTTAACTGACGTCAGCCAATGAGAGAAATAGATCCGGTC